AAACCGACAAGACAACGAGCCCGTGGCTGAGTGGCTAGAGGCGTTGGACTTCTAGCTAACAAGTCGCGGGATCGAGCCCCGGGTGTTCTACACATGGGGGTTGGTCAAGACTGGCTGACGACGGCTAATAAGCCAGAAATTATTATTCCAGTCTCCTTTGTCTCGGTCGGTAAGGCTATTTTGGATATTATTGTTTCCATAGCAAGTAGTAGCTACGACAACACCATAATTTCCACCAATTCGACCTGCCTGTCAGCGGCCGGAGAGAAAGCAGGGATGCCTGGGTCTAGGGCATGCTAACTGGTGGAGATTCCTAGGCCAAAAAACCCAACTCTTGGTCTGCGTAACGACTTTCGCACGCGGGCTTGGGTCTCACGAAAATGACAGTCGACAGATGGCATCCTCCTCGGTATCGGTATCCGTGCCCGTCGATAACCGAAGTGACAGGAGTTGGATGTTTGCGACGCTGATTACGCCCTTCCTTCCGTTTACAGAGACAAAGGCAGGGTGGTATGAGTAAAGTCTGGTTACTAACAAACGGTTAGTAGCAAAAAAGGACGAGAATAGAAATTGATATCAGGTATGTCACACCCTGCCGTTTACTCCTCCGCCATGGCTTCCCCATAGTTGGTTGACTTTGATGACCGCTATTTCACCTTTTTAAAACAGCGTTCCTAACCTATCCATCATATACAAACCCTCTGCAGGCCTCTTCGCTGACCTACACGTCCTCATGGTCGCCTTGTGCTACTGCGTTTGTACGGTTCATCGATGCTTTCGCAGTCCGCGTTGTTTCTGGAGGGCGGCACTGCCCTAAATGCGTTAAAAACGACTAAATGGCACGCAGATGTAGTACGCCATCGTGATGATTGGCGCCTTGTGGTTTGTCTAGTTGAAAGATGTTTGCAAGATCTGCTTTTCTTGCACGTCTAGGAGCCGAGAGCCGAGCCTGTCCGCGAGCTCAGTTTGAATTTCCCAGACAGCATTTGTTGTTCACAGTCCTGATCGTTTCATTCCGCGGGGATGGTCGGCATCGATTTCAACGTGAGGCCTTTTGATGACTTCCCGTGAGATTGTAGGCTAGAAGTTGATGAGGCATCGGAAGTTCTCGACGGCACTGCGCTCCAGAAGTTGTGGCTTTCCCAATGGTAGGTTTGTGTCAGCCGAGCCTAACACCGGCGCGGTACGCTTGGCATGAGATCCGTGAATCGCTGCGATGGTGGCCATAAGGACGTTTTTGATCTCACTGAGGTCTGCGTACCCCTGCATCTTGTTATGACTCGGCCTGGTACTTGAAATCACGCGAAACGTATGCCCACTCCACTGTTATCCTCAGTACCAACGCGGTGTAGAAGTACACGACCGGCCTCGAAAAACTGTACTAGGACTATGCAAGTCGTCCTTACTCGAACAATAAAGTGCAGCTCTAATATCCTATGGGGCTTGGCCGGCATTCGGTCCAATACGCTTTGAGAAGAAAATTGCAGACTAGCTGATAGTTTTCTCGCATACACGGACCAATCAGGTTCGAGAGGAGCAGCCAATTGCGAGGCGCTATCAGCATGCGGACAGCGTGCTAGAGAAGGCTCACGTGACCCCCAGTGATTGGCTGGCTCTGGTTCTTGGGAGTGAAGTGCTCTGCATTACAGTCTGTTGAACGAGACCTCGCTTTCCTTGCAGTCTGCTGGCACAGGTCGTGCACAGCCCCTTTTCTTCCGAGTAGAGCCATCGGATCTCTCCCTTGTTTTCATCAAACCAGTCCTTAGGCCGTCAGTTTGTGCACACAAGGGCCTTCAAAGCAGTGGTCTGCATGGGGTTCCGGATATCAGAATGATTCCTCAGAGTAGATCTTGACTTAAGCTGTCAAAACCCTTTTTTCAGATAGAGTGGTTGGTCTTCATTTCCTGGCATTTTTTGGGGTCACGAAAGTGTGGTGGTACAGAGGTTGGTCTTCATTTCCTGACATTGTTTGGGGTTGGAGGGCCGCAAATGTAGTGTCAGTGATTCCACGATGTTTTCGCAGGCCGCAGTGTTTCTGAAGGACGGTGCGCGGATGTGGTGTTCTATGGTGGTGATCGGCGCTTTATGGGTTGTTTAGTTAAAAGATGCTTTCAAGATCTGCCCTTCTTACCTCGGCTCCTGAAACAATAGGTCAAGCCTGTCCACGAGCCCAGAGCCGCTGATTTCTGAGCTGAGCTAAAATTGAGTCGATGCCCGCAAAATTTCCCAGATAGCAACTGTTGCATACCCCTGATCATCACATTTGGAGGGGGTGTGTGTTCAAAGTAGACGTCGGTTTCAATGTGAGACCATTTGACGACCTCCTCACAGCTTGTTGGCGACAAGCTGATGACTCATTTGAAGTGCTCGTCACGGCCTCAAACCGGTCTTTCTGCTGTCGGTTTGTACATCCAAGGGCCTTAAAAGCAGTCTCATGCATTGGGTTCCGTCTTTTCTTTCATTTAGTTTCAATACCAGCAACTTTGTCTACATCAAAAACTTGCATAGGGTCTTCTGGACAGTCTTGACACCGGACTCAGGTGGGGAGGAAGCGCGAGTGTGTTGGGTGCAGAGCAAGTCTATTATCACTATAAAAAAATAACTTGCAAGTCACCATGCCTGCTCTCACGGTTCAGTCCAGCACACGGTGGACATTGTCAGCCACGACGGTCGAACTGTCATGCTCTGAATAAGCTCACCATTTATGCCCTTGTCGCCTTTGGCCACCGTAACATTCTCAGTAAAGAAAACCGATGAGTGGCCGGATAGCCTTAATTGGCAGCTGTGTCCCTTCTGGCGGAAAAATGGAAGATAAACAGGGATGGTTGGCACGGTGTTGCGGGGGTCGCCGAATCGCATCCAAACACCCGTTTTTCTCCTCCTAGTGATCATTTCACCCGGACCCCGAATTCACATTCACCTGTTTTGCTGAATTTTTTTCAGATAACGAAGGCGTAAAGAAACTAGAAACCTCGCGCCCATCTCCCGCGTCCAGACACAACTCCACCGTAAAGATGTCAAAATTCTGACCGCCCCCCCCCCCTATGCACTGCTTCCCAACACCTGTGGACTGGTCTACGGCCGCAGGGCCTAGCGCACCTGTGATGTGTTTTGACAGCCCGTCTCTTCGCCGCCCGCGTGTCGTTGTGAGGACTCCAAAGTGCAACGTCAGACGTCGGGTCGGCGGTGACCCCCTCACCTTGCATCGCGGGGGTAGAGGGCCGCCATCCCGTTGTCAGTCTTTCTTACTCTCCATGCCTTGGTCAGTGTGCTAACCGAGTAAAAAAAATGCGTCCTTTCACACCGCACTGCCAAAAAACCATCTCTCCCCCCTCCTCCCCGCTATGTTTTCCATCCTCAAACCTAGGTACCCCACCCCCGTCCCATTACTTTATTTCCTTCAGCTTGCAGAACACGCGAAATCCCCCTGCCCCGCCGGTCCTTTTACTCCCCCCCCCTCCCCTCCCCAACGTCCACCCAGATGTGATACTGCTTTCTTACGCTCTCACTTCCGCTTCTGTGTCACAGATATGGAGGGTTATGTGCCTTTCTTCGTCCCATGTGGCTTCGACCACAGGCAGGGAGACAGACTCGTGCGATGCGGACACAAGGGGAAGATGGCATCGGATGCCCCACTGCGCCGAGTTGCGCCACTCGGCCTAGAACAGCTACCGACCCATCTTACTGCTGATTAGAACATTGAAACCGTTAGTCTGCTTGAGAAGCCTGAGGGTTGAAAAGAGACATGTTCGCTTGAAAAATGAGTAAGACATGCAAATTGCAGCCGGCAGACTTGCCGAGGTACTCTTCGGAGTCAGGTTATTTAAATCAGTGTCTGTAATAACACTTCGTTAGGGGGTCTTTTAGAAATCTCCATCCAGTTAATGGCACTGGCCTCCGGTTCACTTGTAACTTACTTGTACTTGGTACGGCTGCGATCATGCCTGATCCAGTCGGCCTCGATGATGTCCCCTTGACTGAAATTCTCCACGCGTGAGGATCCGCGGCGGCAGATCCGGACAGTTCAACCCATTCTTTTTGCCAACGACGGAGACCGAATAGCAAAGGTCCAAAAAACACCTCTATGTCTCGACGAACTGTGTCGAGCCACGTTTTGAATTGACCCCATCCTCGGCGCCTCCATTGGCGAAACGGTGCCGAATAAAGGGCAGTAGCAGTGAGCTCCTGAGGTGGACGACGAATAACATGCCCAAACCACCTCAGTCGCCTTTTTTCGATCGCCTGGATTGTCCGTGCGATGTTTTCGCAGCGAGCGCGGGCTGTCTCATTTGAGACGAAGTCGGTGTACTTTACTCAAAGGATGGTCCTCAAGCAGTGGTGATTAAATACCTCCACTTTTCGCTCGTCATCCACGCGCAAAGCCCAGCAGTTAAAACCGTAGAGAAGGACAGATGCACGGTACACGCGAATCTTAGTGGCGATAGAGAGGTCACGTCGGTTCCACAGGCATTTCCGAAGGCTTGAAAAAACCCAGCGGGCAGCATCGATTCGGGAGACAATGTCGTCCTTTCTCTGTCCATTAGGCGGCAGCCGCGCCCCGAGGTATTTAAAACTGTCCACTTCTTCAAGTTGACAGCCATCAATCCCGAGAGGCGCCTTTTCCTGGCCAGGGATGCAACTTGGAAGCGCTTTAGTCTTCCCAGCGACCGACCGGTTGAGCGACCTCGTTCACCCGTGACACCATAGACTGCAGATCACCAAAACTTTGAGCAAGTAAGGCGATATCCTCAGCATAGTGGCCATCAGTCGGTCTGTGTCCGGGTGCAGATTCAACATCGTCACCTTCGTTAGGGCCATTCCGAAAATGCAGTCAATAACTTAGTTGAAGAGAATCGACGAACGCCAGGCCGAATAGCAAACGGCTGGGAAGGATTGTTGCGAACCAGGACTTGCACGGTGGTGGAGCCATAATAGGCCTTGACCATGGCGATGATTTTTGGCGGTACACCATCTAGCGTCATTATCCGCCATTGGAACCCATGGTGGACGGAATCGAACGCGGCGCCAAAGCAGACGATCGTCGGTTGCTGGTAGCTATGGCGAAATTCGATAATGCGCCCTAGTGTGAATACCTGGTCTGCACATCTACGTCCAGCACAAAATCTGCCCTGGGTGGGCCTCGTCATAGAGTCACGCACAGCCTGGAATCGCCTGAGTAGGACAATACCGAAGGTATTCGCAGCAACGTCGGTGAGGCTTTTGCCGCGGTACTTCTTGCATCTCGTCTTGCTTGAGGATTGGTATAAGGATGGCTGAGCTCCAGTCATTAGGAGCAACCCCGTTTCTCCACGCTTGTTCAATCACCTCATGGAGCCAGGGCGCCACAGTGTCGACAAGACTTGTAGATTCCGGCGGGTATACCGTCCTCTCCGGGTGCTCTGTTGCGCAACTTTCGTATGGCATCGGCGACCTCTTCTTCAGGAGGGGGGTCGCATGGCACTACATAGTTTGGCGAGGGAAGAAACTGTGCTGCAGAGAGCAAGGGCGTGGTGGGTTAGGTATCGGATACTTCGGTCAGGGATTGGAGAGTGCGTAAAGTGGTCTTAAAAGCTACGTCGCCAGCGTTAATTAATTCAAAACGGGCTATGAAAACTCCTGAAAAGTGTAATTCGGCAGAACAACTTTCATCTGTCATGTGTTTGCAGTTGCTGAATGGTGGGTGTATCTGTTTACTTTCTTTGCCCTTCGAAACCTTCAGTCCTAAAGGTTGGCATTTCAAGTGTCATCAGTTGTCCGGTCCTACCACTGTCTCTCTCCGAGTGCGCTTGTTTTTCCCCTGACAAGTCTCCATTACATATTAATGATCATTATGCATGCATGGATGTGCAGCGTAGGTTAGAACAGCTACTGATTTGGGAAATTATCCAGCTGTTTGACAACGTAGATTTAGGCTCGGACTTATTGTGCCTTTTTGTATGGAAGGGACTTGTTGTGCTTCACATCCCCTTACCTGGACTATTGCATACAGTGTTTTATGCGTTACAACGTTATCTGAAAACATCATGTATTTGGGATGTTGAGTCATTCGGGGTAGTATGAGTTCTATACACCACCGCAACCAAATCAGCAGCCATAAACCTGTACTGCCACCGCAAATGCACATCACTCATCGGTCTGGTCGGCCTCTTTCGCATCCGCAGCATTGGGACTTACAATCCAAGGCTCGGAGCACCGAATTCCAACCGCCACCGTTGCTTTAAGTGACGATTAAGCAAAACAGGTTAAACCGCTAATATCCCTAACAGCAAGGGGGAGAAAGAGTTTAAATTTTGCCGTTTAATTCTGTAAAAACCGGTATGTGAATGGCTTAAGGTAGAACTTGATTCGAGTTCAACTCGAGCCCGACGCAAGCTTGATTTGCGCCCGAGTGCCATCAGGAACCCTAGCTCGAACGTCTAATTAACTCAGTCAAGTGCACTTTCAAAATATGGGCACGCAAATTAACGGAGTAAACGCTTTGTCAATTTCAAAAGATCATTCGTAAACGGGAGTACACTGTGCTGTGTGGCTGAGTAGATGATTAAGCTTAAACCAGTGCAGCCTCACGTTTAAAATAAAATGTTGGATATGAATGAAAAGCCTGCAGTGATCCTACCCTACCCCCTGAGCTATGTGGCCGATCATTGCACCGGTAACCTTACTCAGCTCCGTCGCCGAGGCAAAATAACTTCACTCAGCCCGACTCCCTGCCTAGCGGCCATTCGACCGACTTCAGCTCAGACACACGTGCGTCCAAACAGTCATAGCCGTCCATGACCCGCCTGGCAAGCCGCCCCTTGGCCAATGTAACATGTATATATTAATATACAGGCAGAATGGTATTACCGACAATGGCAAGGGAGACTGGAATGGCCATTTCTGGCTTATTAGCCGTCGTCAGTCAGCCATACCCAAGCCCAAAGTGTGGAAAACCCGAGCCTCGAACTCGCGACCTCTTAGTTAGAACTCCACACCTCTAACCGCTGGACCACGAGCCCGTTGCCCTGTCAGTTTTTCGATCGGACGTTCCTGTTAAGGACGTTTTTGAGAGGATTTTCCCGATCGAAACCGACAAGGCAACGGGCTCGTGGCCCAGTGGTTAGAGGTGTTGACTTCTAAATAACAGGTTGCGAGTTCGAGGCTCGGGTGTTCCACACTTCGGGCGTGGGTATGGCTGACTGACGACGGCTAATAAGGCAGAAATGGCCATTCCAGTCTCCCTTGTCTTTGTCGGTAATACCATTCTGCCTATATATCATGCGCCGCTGTGTGGCTGCTGGTTGGGCTCGAGAGAGACTCCATAAGGCACAACGGAACGAGTGAGTTCCGTATGAACGATCGGTGAGCGCCCCCTACCATTGTATATATGAATATATATCTGGAGGGTTTGAGGTAGAGCCCTTGATGATCCTATTTATGTACAGTGCTTTTACATATTCGCACTCAAAATAAAATTGCCGGCATTTACAATTTGATCGGGTCACAGTTCAATCGTAATCATAGGGTAGCGCATAAGGTTATTGCGGATGGACTGTACATGACAGTGTTTTATTGAACTGGCTGTGGGTAGTCATGCTGTGAAAGCCGATTTCTGTCGAAAATTAGGCAAGAAGTTTTCTTTTAAACATGCAAATTGTGCCGACCGTCACCATCTCGCTTGGAAGCGAGTTCCACGGTCGGACGACCCGCTGGCTGAATGAAAATTTTCGACGATCTAAGCGGGTGCGCTCATTCACGACTTTGTAGGTATGGCCGCGTAGTTGGTTTGTACGGGCAAACGCAAAGAGGTCCTCCGTTCTTAACGAGCAACCTTGGTGGTGGACAATCTGGAATGTGCAGCGTAGACTGCAGTTAAGTTGTCTATAAGAGAGAGGGAATAAACCAAACACATTCAGCCTCTCCTGGTAAGACAAATGTTTTAGACCGTCGACCATCTTCGTTGCTCCGCGTTGCACCTGTTCGTGTAGGTCAATATCCTTCCTCATCTATGGTGAAGCTGCTGGCATTCCATACTCCAAATGGGGTTTCCAAAGACGCCAAAAAGTCTCTCGAAGAGTTCGGGAGGAAATATTTTAAATGCACGTCTGATGCAGTGTAGAGTACGAGTTGCCTTCTGGACCCTGTTTCTACAGTGTTCTGATGGCGATAGATTTGTCGTCGTCCATACACCTAGATCTCTGTGTCTTTCCACAGTTTCTAACCTCGTCCCGTCAATATAGTATTGGTGTTTGGGAGAGGCAATGCGGCCGGTGTTCAGGTGCAAGACCACGCATTTGGACACGTTAAACTTCAAAAGCCCTCCGTTCGACCAAACACACAGTTTGGTTGAACACGAGCCATTAGACAGCACGAGCCCTCGACTACCGCAGCACTCACACTTGAACCTGCGTCCTCAAGCCTAGGAAAAACAGCTAGCATTACCAACCACATCGTCTGTCCGACAAGGCACGTCCCGGCCTCGTTAGCGGCTACTGCCGCCTGAGACGGCAACTGAAGCCTTCGTTCCGGCGTCCCAAGCTCCTGACCGTTGAGTCAGACACCACGGTCTCTTCGTCAGCACAATTCCTGGAGAAACTCAAAGGGGTAAACCTCCATCCAAATGAGGTCATGGTATCTTTTGATGTTACATCCCTTTTTACTTCTATTCCCCAGGACCTGGCGATCGAGACAATCGAGCTGCTTTTACATGGCAAATACATTGAAACGGAAGATCGTCTTGGACACGCCCAAATCCTTCAGCTCCTGAAACTCTGTCTCAGGACGTACTTCATGTTCGACGGGACAATCTACGACCAGGTGAAGGGCACACTGATGGGTTCGCCGATTTTGGGATTCATCGCCGAGGCGGTCCTTCAACGGTTAGACTCGCTGGTCTTCCAACGCCACCGACTGAAATTCTGAACTCGGCATTTGGATGATACTTTCGTCTTTATCGACCGGGATCGACTGCTGACATTCAAAGAACATCTGAATGCGGTCATCCCGGATATACAATTTACGATGGTGGAGAAAGAAAACAGCCATCCAGTCTTCCTGGATGTTCTCGTATGTCGCAAAAATTCTGGTGGTCTAAAGAACAAAGTGTTCAGGAAAGCGACAAATACGATGCAAGTACTGAACCTCAACAGAAACTACCCAATCAGCCACAAACGCAGTTGTGTAAGAACGCTCTATCGGCGTGTCGAAACGCACTGCAGTGAGGCGGAAGACAAAACTGCCGAACTACAACACCTCCGACGGGTCTTCAAAGCCAATGGCTACCCGCGCAACTTCGTCGACCGGTGCATACGCAAAAGGGACGAAAGGTCAAACCGCACGGACCCCAAATTTTGACGATCGCTTCCGAATGTCAAGAACGTTTCGGAAGCTGTCGGCCGCCTTCTCGCACCACTTGGGGTTGCAGTTCCACACAGACCGGAGGCAACCATCAGGCGTCAAGTAATGAAACCGCAAGACCCGCTGCAACGGCTAGAAACGTCTGGAGTCGTTTTTCGAATTTGGTGAAGTTGTGGGCACCAACATCACAACGCATGTGATGAAGTTGCAGGAATTAACGACAAGAATATCGACAATCGAACAATTAACACACTAGGTGCGACGATCCC